GAGACAAATGAACAGAAATGCTGCATGGCCAGCGGAAAAGGGCGGACGCCCGCAGTGCAGGCACCGAACCTGGGAGACAAAAGTCAAGAAATCACCTGGGAGACAAATGAATAGAAATGCCGCGTGGCCAGCGGAAAAGGGCGCACACCAGCAGTGCAGGCACCGAACCTGGGAGACAAAAGTAAAGAAATCACATGGGAGACAATTGAACAGAAATGCTGCGTGGCCAGCGGAAAAGGGCGCACACCGGCGGTGCAGGCACCAAACCTGGGAGACAAAAGTAAAGAAATCACTTGGGAGACAAATGAACAGAAATGCTGCGTGGCCAGCGGAAAAGGGAAATCACTTGAAAGACACATGAACAGAAATGCTGCGTGGCCAGCGGACAAGGGCGCACACCGGCGGTGCAGGCACCAAACCTGGGAGACAAAAGTAAAGAAATCACTTGGGAGACAAATGAAAAGAAATGCTGCATGGCCAGCGGAAAAGGGCGGACACCGTGACAGAAAGGGCGGACACATCTTAAGAATGAATTGAGAATTCCCAACTCTGGTGGAGATCAAGAAGGCCGCGGAAGAAGCATTCACTTGGCTTCAGTCGACTGATGCCATCAAGCGGGCCGCTTCATCTCGAGCTTGGCTTCCCCGACTGGAGCTACTCGCTGAAGGATGTCAAGTGATGTTCTGGGAACCCGGCCCACAGAAGAGGACTATCACGTCGACATAGATTTGGACGCCTATCTTCGTCGCTCGAGAAGATGTCCAAACATACCTATGGACAAGGGTCGTGAAGAGCCAGAATAGTATTTGGCTCAGTAGGAGGCACCCACAAAGATGTCGGACACATTGGTGACCCTAAGTGCCCACATCAAGTCCACGGATGTATCGACTTGTCTCGCCGCATGTGTGAGCTGGCTCTTCATGCGATGCCCGAGGCGGCACCCCTGATGCCAACAGCCCCAGCAGAATCAGCGCCAAAGGCTGCAGGACCAACTTCCGCAGGGCCGGCTCCCAGCGTAGCGGAAAGAGTGGTGGAGCTTTCGCTAAAAGAGGTGGAGAATTACATCGTTGAGTATTGCACTTGCCAGCAGTGCTTGCTAGGCGACCCTGGCAAGGGGGTTCAAGATTCTGACACTCTCGAGTCATACGCTGCAGCTTTCAGAGCCATGGGCGTGTCTTCCCGAACTGAAGTCTTTGCGCTGCTCGCAAAGATCGAAGAGATCGATTACGACTTGGACGCAACTCCGCAATATGTTCCAACAGGAGGAGTGCTTCAAACTCTCTCGCTCTAGCGGGCAGTGCTGGTTTTTCCATTGGTGCAGCGAGCTCAGATAGCCAGCGATACAGGTACCCGGCAGCACTTCAGCTGATCTTGAATGGCGCTCCGGAAAAAACTGTGCAAAACCCAATCTCCAAAAGGACAAAATCTTCTTTGGAGGTATACGCTTTACATGAATCTCATGAGCACGAAACTCTCGACACTTGGGATAGATCGGGAGGGAGCGTGGGCGCTCGTTCAGGCAGACTTCACGGAGTATCGAGGAACTTCAAGGGATGTGCCTGAGATCACTTCGCTCATGATCGAAGCTGGAGGTGGTTGGAAATCATCCATCAAGAGAGTTTGGGTCCGGTACCGCAACAAGTTGAAGGGTCTTCCATTGGAGTTGGTCCGTTGGCCGTGGCTGACGAGCGGCATTTTTCTGACATTCTTTCTGGCGTCCTATTTGGCATATCTTCTGACTCGCGGTTGAGGTCCGGCGGGGGACGCTGCCATCCGACCCTTGCGTTGAGGAGGCGGAGGACGAGGAGGACGAGGAGGGAGGAGAGGAGGCGAGGAGCAAAAAGAGAGTGAATTCAGAAGTGTTTGGGCGTCTGTTGTACTCATATGTTCATTGGGTTTGCCAGTCTGGGTTGGTGTCCGCCTTGTGGCAACTCCTTAGCAGCAACTCTGTACATTTGTTTGGCTGGCATTCTGGCAACTCCATGGAAATTCCTTCGTAGCAGCTATATACATTGTCTCCCAGTCTGGGCTGGTGTGTGTGCTTTCAGGCAACTCCTGCACCCAACCCCTTGGTAGCAACCCTTTGCACGTGCCCAGTCTGAGCTACTGCACGCGCCTTTTCAGGCAACTCTTGCGTTTGCCTCATGGCAACTCCTTCGCAACAATTCTGCACGTTGGTGTGTCTGCCTTCTGACAGCTCCTGAGTAGCAATTCTACACATTTGTCTCGCAGTCTGGGCTGGTGTGTCCCTTCTGGGCTGCCTTTTGGCAACTTGTCAGTAGCAATTCTATATATTTGTTTGGGCTGGTGCGTGTGCCTTCAACTCCTTAACAACAATATATACTTTTGTCTCGCAGGCTGGGATTGTGTGTCCACCTTCTGGCAACTGAGTAGCAATTCTTTCCATTCGCCTCCCACTCTGGGCTACTGCCACCGCCTTCCGGCCACTCCCAGACAGCAAACGTTTCCATGTGTTTGATGCCCTCAGCCGGTAGTGTGTCCACCTTGTGACAACCCCTCCATGGCAACTTTGTACATTTTTCTCCCCGTTGGGAACTTAGCAGCAAATCTTTGCATATGTCCGTCTGCCTTCTGGCAACTCCTTGCTGGTAATTTGTGCATGTTTTTTAAAGCATTAGCCCACTCTGGGCTAGCGCGTCTGCCTTCTGGCAACTCCTTGGTAGAAAACCTTTGCGTTTTCCTGCCACCTTCTGGCAAACCCTCAATAACAATTCTCTATATTTGTCTCCCGGTCTGGGCTACTGCGTCCGCCTTCTGGCAAAGACAATTCCAATCATCATCTTTCAAGATGCAGATTTACAGCGGTCAACTGTTTGGGGTCTACGGTGCTGTAATGTTCAACAGAGTATGAAGGAGTCATCTCCAACATTCTTCGATGTTTTGAGATGTTCTCGTTTTTTTGTCAGAGTTGCTTTGTCCAAAAAAACATCTCCAATATCCGCGGGTAGGTCCCAAAAGGAACTCCGCTCGTCCGTGTGTTCAGGTCAACCTCGCTCAGCCTAGCGGGCCCAGCGGGCCCAGTACGCAGCAGGCTTGGGGGGGCTAAGCCTGGAGCGCTGCCGGAGCATGGGGATGGGTCGTTCAACCTGGAGCCCGACCAGTCCACCACTAGGCCGCGAACGACTAATCCACCTGGGGGCGATCATGCCCAGTTCCCCACAGGCTGTTCGGACGCAACGCAGCGAGTCCAGTGACTGTGGGTTTTTGGGAAACCAAGGGTTCTGATTCTGGGACGGAAGGACCAATCCACATTGGTCCAAATGTGCTGTTGATTTGCCGTGTGACGTTCCAAAGACCCGCTTTGATTGATGGCCAAGAGAGTTTCATCTACAACCGATTTGAGCCAGTTCTTGCAATCACATGCGAAGATGCACCAGTTTTAGAGAAAATGCAGGGGACACCCCCAAAGCGGCCCCCAAGTCACTTTCCCCAAATTGCTGGTGATGGTATTTGGAGGTGTAAAAGCCTGAGGTCCTAGACCACACTGCAATGACAAGTTCTATGTGCTCGCAGGCACGTCCTCTCTATGATCCGCAGGCCGTTGCTTGGAACATCCGGGGCTGGTGGCACGCTGTGTTGAAAGCAGATTTGTCTTCCAATGAGATGACCCTGTCAACACAGGTCGCAAGGTGAAACCTTAAAACACAGATGATACTCAAAGAGCCCACACAGCTGCAGGGTAGCCGACCCTCATCCGCTTTGTGGATGTAGTCTTCATCCTTTGTTCTTCTTCAGGGTGGCTATTCGCGGAATATGCAACACCTCCAGGTTATAACTCATGAGTTAGTTGTCGTCAATGAGTGACAATGATAATGCTGATGGGTTTGTTGACGTGTTTGGGTGTTTGATTGATAAAGGCCTATCATAGCACGGTAAGTGTCCTCCATTGATTGTAGGCGTTCTTCTTGTTCGCTTAGGTCGCCGAGGTCGACATGGGGAAGAGTGTGACGTCTCCACCCAAAAAGGCTCAACCTTTTGACGGGGTCGTAAACACATCTACCATCACGGTCGCTCAATCACCTATAGGTATGCGTATGTGCAAACTGGACATTCTGGAGGAAAGAAACAACACAAATTGTAGGCTCTCACTTTCTGGAGGAATGTCGGCTTCAACACATGCATGCGCACACACACACACAAGTCGCTTTCCAGTCACTGCCAAGTGTGCCAGTCGTGACACAGGCGCCTGCCGCAGGGGCCAAAGCGCCCGCGCCTGCACAACGACACCCCTGCTATGGGGATCCTCAGGCGTGGATGCCATGGGGAAAAACCATGAGAACCAGAGGCTTCGTAGGAATGCTTCATGACGATAGGGGTGGTGGGACCAACCCACGACCCATTGAGGGTCTAACGGGATGCCTTTAGAACTCCATGCAAGAAAAGAAAGAATACACTCCCGAAAACTAACATAGACCCTGACTATGGCCCCCTGGAAGAGTGTTTTCCTCTACCAACCAGTGGTTTCCAGGGTCCATGTTAGTCTTCCAGGGTGTAGGTCATTCTTCCAAGTACGTTGCTCACCCGAAGATTGGTATGGAGCCTGAGGCCCTGGGGCCCGGCTCTCTCCGCAGTGTCCGGCGCAGTGTTCAGAGACTGCAGAAGGGGCTGCGGCGCGCGTGGTCGCCGCTTGGGGGCCGGCTCTCTCCGCAGTGTCCGGCGCAGTGTCCAGAGACTGCAGAAGTGCCTGCGGCGCGCGTGGTCGAGCTGGGGGCCCGGGACTACTGGTGCCAGTGGCATGCAGGTATAAACCTTCGGTTTTTTTTTCAGCGCCTGATGATTTCAAGAAGTGAGTTGAGTGGCAGGTACCTCTTCCATAGGATGACTTTGCATTTCGCCTCTCCCGCCGTGCCCTACTCATCCACTGTTCATAGCTCAGGAGCTCCAAGACCATCTCCCAGCATTCCCAGGCAGCAGCGCTGCCTCCAAGGCGGACGCCTTCGCCCTGCAATGGTCGGGCGAAAGAGGCAACTGGTGCTGGGGGCAGGCGTATGTGGTCGGTGGGTTCACACTGAGGGTGAAGTATGATGGCTGGACTTTGGATACGACCTTTGTTACAGCTTCTAAAGGTTACGTCCAGCAAACCAATCTTCCAATTCCCGCACAGGTGCCGATGGCGGCCGCTGGCTTTCAGGCCGCACAGAGCCTTGCGTTCTCGGGGGCGTCCATGAGAGTCTGCATAGGAGAAGCCAAATGGATGTGGCTGGCAGAATTCATCAGAATTGACAAATAAGTATTGTTTGAACTGGATTTAGTTATTATACCAGCCAGGAATAGAATTAATGTCAATCCTTTGATCATAGAATATGCATGAAAGACAAACAACGACCGAAGTCGGTACGAAACGACCGAAGCAACGAAACGAAGGCACGCGAAACGAAACGGGACAACGGACTGTGTTGCAACTCTGCGTTTCGGGGTTTCCGGTCGTCGGATGAAGCACCCTGTGAACGGTTGAGACCGCCCCGCAACCTGGGAAGGAGCGAAAGAGCAGACTAGTCAGCCGATTTAGCCATACCCTTAGAAGTCCGGCTTGACTATCTTTATAGGGATCCATTCGTACCTTCTTAATTAGAAGGTGAGCAGGGAGACAATTGATGTAGGTTTGGCGGACCCAAGTACCTTCTGAGAAGGTACGTGGATCCCTATGGGGTATATTTCGCACCACCGAAATCAAGGGGCATTTGCTTGAACAAGGGGGCCAGCGTTCGCACCAGAGCAAGTCCAACCTTGTCTTTTTGGGGCTCCAAACAAAGACCGTCCGGGCATAGAAGTCCCACCGGTGTCCAGATCCTGTGCAAACCGCTCATGCACCGAAGTGGTTGACCACCACTCCAGCACCACTTCTGATCGCTTCGTCGCGGTGTCCGGTCGCGTCGTCGCATCTCTCTCGCGACGATGGTTGCTTCCCCCCAAAGCACTGGGGTGGCCACACGGTTTGGGGTTCCTTACGGTACGAGTGTTACGGCTTCCCCACCTCCGGACCCCTAGACCTCCAGACACACTGTTTGGGGTCTCTGGCGGATCGTCCAAGTAGTCGTCGTTAAGGATCGCACCTGATCCGTTTGGGAAAATGAGATCATGTCATGTCAATTGCACAGATTGGAATCTCTTCATGCGGTGCTGCTCCGTTGGGTTGAGTGGTCACGAACGGCACATGCTTGTTCTCCGACCCTGCAAGCTCCAAGTAGCAGGCTGTGGTGGCTGTCAATGTTTTAGCTGACCCGTGAAAACCTGATCGCGACACCATGAATAGATTGCTAAAGTGTTATTTTGTTGGATTTGCCACCAAAGACTAAAGATTGCTCAGAATTCAGTACGGAAATATCTAATAATTTACACCAGGATGTACCAGCACCACCCAAAGGGTGGTTTTGGGATGGAACATACATCTTCAGGGGGGTCTAGAAACCACCCTTTGGGTGGTGCTGGTATATGGATCTTTAAGTAGCCCAGGGTCTCTTTTCCTCCGGGATGGGGGTTTGGAGGCGCATCAGATGCATCGAGGACGAAATGGAGGGGCAAATCGATTGGAGGGGAGAGGAGTGTTGGAGCTGTTTATGGCTGCTTAACTAGCTGCTGCTCAGGAGGGAGCGACTGAGTTCGGAGCTAGGGAGAGTCCACCCAACCGTTGCTAGCTATTTTTCTTTGATCAGAAGGTATGTGCAGATGCAAGGTCGTGCAGGAAGACTTGTAGGAGCAGAGTGGTTCTTCCCTGCCCAAATAGACCTGTCCTCATGTATGTGTTATGTTTTGTCTTTGTTCTGTAGAACATGTTGTACGACAGTTGGAAATACAACAATTATGACTCATGACGGTTTCCCAAAATTGACTTGTGGAGAGTTGATCTTATCATCGGTGTTTCACTGGTATCTCCATACACCCACAGTCTTGCCATACGCGCATGCTGACAATTGGTCTTATCTTACCATTAATAACTGCGGGGTCAGATGGATGCGTGGTAGACAGAGTTTCTTCCACTCTTAATTAAACTTGAAAGATGCGAGAGGAGCCTCTGCTCAACGACATTCAAAAAATGTAGCCACACCATGCCAAGCCCGTTTAACCATTTTTGTTTGGTTTGAATGCACCAGCAGTATGGACTGGAACAGGACCTAGAGTTTGCTGAAGATTTGCAAGAGGGAGTTTCACCCTCACAAAAAACTCGACCAGTTCCATCAATTGGATCTTTGTGAAGGTAGTTCCAGACATGTGGATGTATCAGTTCGACTCCACTGGATCAACGGGTTTTGGAGGGTGTTTACACTCCCTGAACAAATAGCAATTTACAAAAACAAACAAAAACACACATGGAAGTTGTCATTCGGAAAATGGTCATCCATGAATATTTCAGAGTATATAGATGGTTTGTTTTTTGCCCTTTCACCAGGGAACCCTGATTGGAGTCCTTCCTTCCCTGCTCAACACATCACTCGGCACTTTGGCAGGAGGTGCTCCCTACGCGTATGATGGAGGCGGAACCGCGGAACTCGTCGAATGATTAGAGGCTTTGTTTAAACGACTTGAAAAGAGGTTAAACGGTACACTTCTGTTTGCAAAATATGAGTCAAGAAAATGTAGTACCTCTAACGAATTGCAACCAAGCTCCCTAGTTGATTGAACCAAAGAAAACGGCCGTGTATTCTACATTTAAAAGTCAGGCTTCTTGAAACACTTTTGCAGTGCGGCTGGTGTGTAGGCTGTGAGAACACAATCTCCCATAGTGCTCAACTTGCATGCTTGCGGACACAGGGGCCGTTTAACGAAGGTCCAGCAGCGGGGCTTCCACCTCCTTTGCCGCGGGAGGCACGCGCGCAGGAGAGGCGTGTCGGCCGGATGTTGAACGCGAGCTTCACTATGAGGTTGATGAAATGGTCGTGAGTACCTCTCCTGCAAGGTCGCATGTTAGAGTTCCAGGTTTCTCCAAGGTCTCCAAGGAGTTTCAGAGTCTCCATGTTGGTGTTTTTTTTTGTTTGCATGTCCTTCTGTGGACCCTATTGTGAACTGCACGCAGTTAACATGGATGCTTTTTGGATCATAGGCACTAGTTAATGAACATCAACAGATATTCTCTTTAAGTTTCAAATATAAGTCTATATCATTCTTTCTATGTCACTGTCTCTTGGCCCCTCACCCTGAATAATTCCAGGTCGATCCACAAAGTCCTCGTGGTCCAACGCACGCGCGGTCTACCGTTCCTTCTCGGGGACGAATGGACGAATAGACGATCGCTGCCGTACTCCGTACTCCGTGTCGTGTGTCGTGTGTCGAACCTGTCCTAGCTCGGAAGAAGTCGGGGGAACGAAGTCGAACAGTTCGCCCCTGGCGAACACCCATGGGTGTTCATCGTGTTTGGGGCATCATCTGCAGAGGTCGGAGGTCGGGATCAAAACCCGTCTGCCTTTCGGAACCGCAAACCCACGTGGGTCGTTGGTCTTCGGAACATGGTCGAAACCACCACAGGAGCCCTTGGGAGGTCGGGATCGTCCGGATCACCGGACGGGACCGCAGGACCAGCCCTTGGGCCGCGAGCAGCCGCGCGTCTCCTCCAACGCCGCACGCTGAGCACGTGTCCAAACATGGGAAGGGTGGGGACATGGGCCCCAGCGCTAGCACTTGGTTTGTGCTCAAGCTGAGAAGGTTGCACAAGCATATCATGATGTGCGATCCCATTTTGGTGTACACTTGGGTTTTTGCAATCTAACACCATTTGATCATGAGGCTTACTTGTTTTTAGACAGCTCTTGGTGATTGGTGTGTGCTATCTAGGGGTACAAAGCCGGGTGCTGGATGTACCGTGATGACGGAGTCCTCCTTTTGAGGACTCGAAAGACATAAGAAGCCGATAGAAGCCGGGACTGGGGTGCCCGGAGGGTCTCAGGATCTTCTAAAAGAGAAGGTAGCACTAGAGACACCCTCCAGGGATGGTGTGCCTCCGCATCCATTGCTTTGACATCCACTGCTCCAGGCGTATGCGTGCGGCGGCAACCAGAACTGCGGCAACGTCATCACCGACCGGCGCTCGCGGGGGCGCCACAGAACACCGGGGAAGAGGAAACCGACATGGAACCAAAAGGATGGAATGGACCAGACTGGAAGACCATGAAATTCCTCTACAACCCAATGGTTTTCAGTTTCGTTTTTTTTGGGGGCTCTTGACTACGGCGTAGTCTTCAGAAATCTGTGAGAATGAAGTCTGCTGTTTCACAGCCTCCTCGCAAACTGCATCCACTTCAGAATGATGGCCCACACTTGACGAATAGCATATACAATATCATACAATATCATGGAATATCATTTCCATGCCATTTCCATGCCTGAAGACCCACTTAGACCTGCCTAAGAGAACATGGCTGTTTTCGAGTGTCCCCAGGACGCGGGTGGCCCAACCGCCTGGTGGGAGCTCCTCGATTTGCTTCGGTTAAGGACCGACAGGAAGGTTAATGGCCTGAGAAAGGTCGACACCATGTGTTGCTGGGGGACGGCAGTTAGTGGTTGTTGGTGGACCATTTTTGGAGCCGTGGAGCGGTGTTTGGCGCTTCGACCGGGAGACCTTGGAGACCACGTGAAAAGAACCACGTTCGGTCGAGTACGTTCGGATGTTTCATGCTCATGTTAACAGAGGCAAGGAGGCAAAAACACGCTCTTCGAACCGAAGGAGCCCAACAACATCATTTGGACCACATCTATCAAAATGATTTGGGGTAGCCCAAGCACCCAAATTGTATAATATAGACTGATGCTGATGGAAGTCTACGACTGTATGACTGTCGTTATTTAAAAAACAAACAGAAACCATCGCATCCGAAGATCTCTTTAACTCGGAAGGACGGACCAAACCAGACTGATGGAAGGACTGAACCCTGGGGGGTCAAGATCAGCTAGCTAAGAAGCGCCGCTGCGAGCCGTTTTGGGAGCGACCGACCACCCCCGGATCACCCCCGGACCGCCGGAGTGTATCCATACATGGTACAGTATCCCTATAAAACATGAGTTTGACCTCTATTTTGGACCACCCACCACCCATGAAATACGGTCTTGTTTCCTATCAAAACAGAGGTCATGTCCGGGGTGCCCCCCTTTGCCTCACTAACATCCTTAGCCAGCTCAGTATAGGTCACCTGTTGCTCAGTCGCGAACATCATCCCTTGCCTTCCAAGAGAGGTTGAGAGACCATTTGGGACCCGAACTAGTGGTACATATGGGAAAGGCATGGATATTCAGGGCATCATAGGGCTACTCCACCTCTCTTTGCAGAACCCAAACATCGCTTTCGCCGAAAAAGAGGACATGGGGCTCAAAAAGCCCGATCCGATCCGAGCGATGACGCATGAACCGCGCTGCACAGCGCAGCAGCACGCTGGGATCCTGCAGATCGTCGCTTCAGGTTTTTCACTCATTTTCACTTCTCATGTGTAGGTATGAAAGTGCGCTGTGGGTTCTTGGATCTTTCAGAATTTGTGTTGAGTCTCTTCTCTTCCTCGCGTCCACATGAGACCTCCTAGTTCGACCCCCTGGAAGAAGGGAATTAGACCGAAACCATCCAAGAACCATTGGGCCAGGGCGTCTCCCTATTCAAATACACACCCACATCTCGAACAAACCGTTGGTTGTACTTTCCTCGGATCGGGTATCGCTGCCTGAAGCGTTTGGCGACGGCGACTACCCACGTGTGGTGAGCGATACCATGACGAATCCATGAAACGTGAATGGGTCAAATCCTGGAGCGTCCACCATGTGCCGCAAACGACCTTCTAGGTAGGTCAACCGGTCGGTCGGTCTGCTTTTGACCCACAGCCAAATGTCTTCAGCTTGAAGTTCATTCAACCCCACGTGGTCACGCGACTCTGAAAAGACCATTCGAGGATTCTTCTAAACAAACTATAAAGACCTTTAGAAAATGGGACACGACCGAGCTATTGTATATGCAATGATCTAATTTTTTGTACAGGTACTTTGAGACTCCAGGTTTGTAAGAAATAATGACATGTTTGGTTGATCCATGCCAAGGATGTCAGAGCAGCTTTCGTTCTGCAGATTCCAGCAGTAGTTCGTTTCGAGACGTTTCACGGCAGTCAATCAGCATCCTGCAGAGAGGCTTCAACTGGACTTGGGCTTGCGCGTTCTGCACAGACAAATTATGATGTTGTTTCTACACATAAAAGCCTCACATCCACAAGGCGACTGTGTTTGAGAGTTTGCATTGGTTCATGTCTATGGGGGTTCATCTCTAAGCCCATGAAGGGCCATTGTCCATGGGCACACAGCGTTTACTCAAGAAGACTATGATTTGAGTCCACACCGGCTGCAGGGAAGATGTTTGATGCGCTGCTTGGAATTGATGTGCCGAATACAACAGCAAGCATGCAGTGGAAAAAATGCACCTTCGCTTTGAAGAGAGTGCAAGTCAGCAAGGCTGATATTTGGTATTGTGCATGGACTGTCCTGCTTGCAAACTATGTCCACACTGTCCATGTGGGGTCCCACTCCCGGACAAGCCAGACATCTGTGATGTTTACGTTCACCAAGTTTTTCATCAATAGCTTACGTAGAATAAGTCTATGTATAGTGTATAGGTCTATAGACATATGTAGACTCCCCAAGAGATAGAAAAATAATGAACGATAAACATAAATAAACATGCGAATCCAATTCTTTTTGGACGCCGTTTATATTTTGGTGACCACTTTTTGTCGCATGAATTCCTGACGGTCCTGTATCGTGAGGGCTCTTTCCATGGCCGCCGTGTCTGACTGGGCCCCTTCAACGGTGGAAGCTTCTTCGTGTCCTGCGGCGCCAGGTGGTTGGGCACAGCCATCGGACAAGGCTATCGAACTGAGTGGTGGTGACCGGGGTGTCCTTGGTGAAGCCAAAGCCTCTCTGGAATCGGGTGTGCATGGAACTTGGAATCTCCTTGGTATTAGCGTGGTATTATGGTGGTATCGGTCCACGGAAATCGGGACCAGACTAATCGATGAAAAACACCTATCAGTCTATCTCACTGTCACGTTGCAAAGCACTGACTCCTGACTCCAGGGATCACAGTTTCTGCTATTGTTTTCTTTTGCACTTTATCCTTTTTGAGTGAGTGGCAGGGTGGTCTTTGGCTCCAAAAAAAAGAGCTTCAGCGTGGACTCTGGGACTCTCATGCCGTAAACCCCTTTCATCCCCGACCCACTACCTAGCTCAGCCATCACCTAGCTATAGCTGACTGCTAGAGCTGACCATCACGGTCCGGGCCCAGCTGGCCCAGCTCCCTTCATCCAAACTGGACGCTCCGTTGGTTTCTGGCCCGGTGAGGCAACCATCGCTTGTTCATGGCCTTGGTCGTGGTAGAGGCTTGGGCACCACGGGAGGACAAACATGAATGAACAACCTGCGAGTTCCATTCAAGTTCCTCTTAAAGTGGGTGCAAGATATGGTACTAATATGTATACTAATTGCCTATTCTTTGTAGGGTCATGGCTCATGTTCTTTTTCTTACCAACGAGATCGTCGCTTCCAGTCGCTTCCACGGTTGAGATCTTCGACGGTTTCTGAGTGAATCTCCTGCCCTGGGGATGAGCTCCGTCGATGGAGAAGGGTGAAGGGTGGCTTGGACCCATCCAGTCAGTCGCGGAGTTGAGAGGGTACCCGCAAGAACATGTTGGAGAGTTCTTCATATGTGTGACTGTATTGGTGATCATCCAAGAGAGAGTCCAACAAATTGAGAGTCCAACTGCTGGTTCTCATGGGCACGGTGCATGTTACAGACCAGTCTCCAATCTTGAAAATGATCTTTGCAAAACGCCTGGCTTGCAGGAGGTCTTTCTAAACTCTTGGAAGTTGGACTTATACCCTCAGAGTCAGGCTGTGCCAGTTTCGAGGAGTTTCCTTTTGGTTGGCACTCAAAGGCACTGGCGCTCGCGTGTGAACGAGTCGCCTTCCTCTTCCTCGACCACACCACAAGCAGCGCAGTGTTTGTTTCCTTCTTTGCGCGGTTCCTCGTCGACTGAGGTCACAGTGCAGCTGATTCACCTTGCCATGTGCTTCGCCTTTCTGCAGAATTCCGTCACCGGCGAGACGTGCGCCAGTGGCGCGCACGCGCACCGTTCTTCGACGTGTGGCCATTCTTCGGGTCGTCCGTGGTGACTGATGCGGGGGCGTGTTCAAGCTCGTTCGACTCGTTCGACTTGTTCTGATTGATTGGGATCTGAGAGTGGACGAGGGTGCGGAAATGAAAACGCAATCTGTCAATTGGACACTCTCAACACCTTGCAAATATTCACAAGATCTCACAAGTAGCCTTAGTGTCTGTGGGTGCTATGGATGCAAGGCCATGGATGAAGTGTAGAGTTTTGCAATGACCATGAAGAAATTTCACCCAGCCTCAAGTCTGTAAGTCAACATGTCAAGTGAAACTTTGGTCGCGGTTTTCCAAGGTCACTTACGGTAGGTGAGACCGAATTGAAGCAGAGAACTTTGGCAGAGTTAGGTTTTGCCTTGTCGGGGGTGTTGATCAGAAGGAAGGAAAAGGGAAGGGTTCAGGGATGGAATCCAAGTGGCTTTCGGTCAAAGCTTGAAGCCAAAGAAGGTGTGCATGAGCATGTTCAGGTATATTAACTGGTGGCAGTCGAGCCATATCAAAGCACAATGAGGTTTTCAGGAGCAGGTTGGACCGGGGTAGATAAATGACAGTCTATATAATCCTTCCATGTTCCGAGATTATCTCACACATCAATGGTGACCCAAAATCCTGTGGACTTCACATCCGGAGAAAGGAGTTGCGGTCAAAAGCTGAAGAATCATATAATTCTGATATGTGACCCAAAGATATGGGTTTGAAGATATGTTTGACATGTTGATACCCAAGACTAACATGGACCCTGAACACCACAAATTGGTAGAAAACAAACGTTTTTCAGGGTGCCATTCCCTGGGTCTATGTGCGAGAGTGTATCATGCCTAAAGATCTCAATATATTTATCAGTACGAACCTATGATCTACAAATATCAAATTTCCATGGATAATTATGGATATATCTCCATGTTTTTCACAACTCATCGATCCATATCGACCATCTCCCACACCTCCACCACCCATGTGGGGTCCTCCTCCAGATCGGTCAACGGCGCGCGAGCGAACCGGACGGTTTCCTCGTTAGTTCATCTCTGTTCGTTTGCCACAGTTCCGTCCAGATGACTAGGACCAGGGATGATTTCACAGGTGCGGCCATGAATCCTTGGACTTCCAAGAGGAGATGCCTAGGGTGTGAGACAGGCATGATTGAATGGACCAGATCAGAGGTTTGTCAGTCCCTAGCCCTAGCATCGATTGCAAATTGGTGATACTTCGTCCATAAACCACCTTCCATAAACAGGGTCAGACCTGGCTGGAAGCCCGAGCCCACTACTGTTTGGATCTCCAGCCATTTCAGCACACCATGGTCTCCATGTTTGGCCTCCATAGCGCCAGGCGTTCATGGCACCGGGGCTTCAACCGCCATGGCACCGCCGTACCGACCCACCTGACCCTGTGACATTCGCCCGGACTCGTTGGAGTCCTCAGACTGCTCCGAGTGCGGGGTGCCGGAAGACCCGAGGTACAGCGCTTACGCTTACAACATGGCTCGGGGAGCCCGGGTTGAAACATCTGAAAGAGGTTGCCGCCGATCCGCCAGCGGATCCTCTGGGCTCGGAGGTGCTTTTTAGAGACCAGGTGGAGCGGGGTTGGGACAGTGGCGAGACCCCTAAAGTTGGGAGACTCTGGAAGAGTAATGATGTTGGAGTGCCGCTGAGTTCTACAAAGGAGACCCTTGAGGTACATTACTCTGGAAGAGGTACATTAATTGATTAGTAACTTGTTTCATACATGTTACATGTTGCTTATTGTTTTTCCCCACACGCCCAAAGATGTCTGAACGCCTTTTGTGGTCCCTGAACCCGGCCCCTTCGCCCCTGGAGCCGAGGCACCCAAAACCCCGCGAGAGCGGAAGGTTCGAAGCAGTTCTGTTCCGAGAGCAGGGTCTCCAGGCCATCGCTAGAGCAGGGTGAATGTCTCCAGCAAAATGAAGCGTCCGGTTTGTTTGGGACAAGGCCGGCTTCTTCAGTTCGTGACCTCCAAATGGAGTGCTAGCCAAGTGACCTTTTACAGGCCCTTTCGTGACCTCAAACAGTGATCTCAACATATCTCAACGGGTAAATTTGAAGAACCAGGTGCCTACCATTTTCACCGATGCAGGTAAGGGTGTTCCTTTCCCTGCTACAACCAAGAAAGAATCAGTTCGGGGATGTTCGGGGTATTTTATTTGCCTGTCACAAGAAAGAAGCCTCAAAAAGACACTGAGAGAGCGAGCCAGAGAGAGAGACAGACAGACAGACAGACAGACAGACAGACAGACAGACAGACAGAGAGAGAGAGAGAGGCACACAGAGACATCCTTCTTTTCTGAGGCTACGCAGTATCCCATGGTGGTTTTTGCTCCTCGGCGCAGTATCCTGACCACCGACCATGTCCGCCGCTTCCGAACGGCCGGTTCGCGCGCGGTCATTCGAAGCACAACAAAACACCAGGACGGGAGACCGAGGCTGTTTTCCTGTTTTTTTCAACTGAACGTGTTAGTTTGTTTTGGAAAAACTTGTCCATGTCCAGTGTTGTACTCTATTTCAACCTGTGCTTGTGCTACACTTTGTTGCAGCCTTGGTACGCAAAGTTTAGGGGCTTACTTGGCACTCCGTCGCATGCAGGATTTGGATTCATCCCGTGTCCGGATGAAAAAAGAGCTACCAAAACGAGGGGCACTTGGCGCGCCCATATGATCAGATCAAGCAGCTTCCTTCTCTCTCGCAGCCGGCAGTGACATGGGTTTCGTGGCACAACTGTTCCTCACAATGTCACTGCCTCACTGCCAATCCAGGCAGCGAGGAAACACCTCTTTGGCATTGAGTTCTTCGCAATTAACCATCAGCCCGTCAGCCACTTGCAGCGGTTTCCGTGGCAGTTTGCAGGCTAGATGTGCCAAGGCATGCCGCCAAGCAGGAATCCCGTGATCAGACGTGAGAGAGATGTTCGACCACCTGGCAAGAATCACCTGTTTGGAGTTCTTTGGCAGCCAAGAAGCGAGCAAGGAACTCCCTGACCATGCCAGATATTGCAGTTGTCAGAGGTGTTTGCAAGATTGCTGTGAATTCCTTGCACCAATCGAAAAGCAGCTGCAGTAGTAATGTTTGTATCAGTGTATCAGTGTCACCCGGCCAAAACTTATGATCATGCTGAGACTTAAGATCCTTGCTGAGCAAGTTGGTGTTTGCAGGTCATGGTCGAATACGCAGTCGAATCAGATAGAAGCAACAGATGCATTCCAACCAAGGCCACAGAATGCTACTGTGGCCGCAAAAACGTTAGTGTCTTTTTTCGGTGGTGGTTGGTGCGAAGTTTCAGGCCTCAAAATTCTGTAGCCAGCTGGGAAGAGTGTGCTCTTTTCTAGAAGCGGCATAGTCGAGACATTTTGCCATTTCGACTAAGCAGATGACAGTTGTGATGGAGTGTGTTCTGAAACCAAGAATCGTATGAACCACACGGGGGCTGAGCGGGCTGATCGTGTGCTGAACCCATTTCGTCTCACTGGAACCACTGGTAGGTTTTTGGACCGAGACAGAATGTATGACTTTAAGTGCCATTGATAGGGTTTGTCATATTACCTGTAACGGTTTGCAAGCAATCACTACTTGTAATCGGCAGTTGAACAACCCAAATAGCTTCCGGGTGTGTGTTTGCGCCGGGCTACTGGACGGCGGTAGATGGTCGTTGTAACGAAGACCACGCCGTGCTTTGAAGCACATGAAGTATTTTATGTTGACAGTTCTTGCAGTTTGTTTGTTTTCCTTTCCTGGCTGCTTTGTTTGTATTTTGTCTTGCCCAGCTTGTGTTACCTTTTTTGTTCACGTTGAATGGATTTGTTTTTTGTCTCTCAACTTGCTGTGTTTTGTCAGCATTCTTACTCAGGTTCTCTTTAGAAAGGCCACTGTTTTTGTGTGGAGATGAGAACACCCAAAAGTATCCAAAGGACTCTTGACTCTCGCGTGTTGCTTGTTCCTATGGGGGAAACTTCCATAGGCGAACGATGAACTCCGTACAGCCACCGTAGGCGAAAATGCTGTGATCCTTCCTCCATGTCCGCTCGCATCTCAAGTATATCTTAAACGTTGCTGATGACTCATCCCATCGCCTTCCGTGGGAAGCAAGGTTGTCATGATGCATAGTTTCTCTTCGCCAGTCCCTGGGCAGAAACCTGCGAAGTCCTGGCAGATGGGTCGTTGTCCCCCAGAAATGGATGGGTCGTGGTCTCTTTGACAACCTCCTGGCTAAAGACGGCACAGAAAGGGGGAAGAAACACCCTGAGGGGTGTTACAGCTGAAAGGGCGTACAGCTGAAAGGGCAGAATCCAAATCAAAGGAGAGCGCCCAATTTGAGGATGAAACCAAAGATGGACTACATGCAGTATTGTTTTGTAAGATGCTTTATGTCAATGATCTTGCATCCGGAAGGGAAAGTTGTTTGAACAGATCATTAACAAGTCATGAAAAATAGTGCAATGTACAAGCAGGTTGCCAGTCTCCGACAGGTCTAAAAAGACGATGCAGAAGTGGTGAAGTCAGAGGACAGGGTCAGAAGTTGTCACTTCCAATACCTATATAGGCTATAAGGGAATAGACTTGTTTGGGCAGTTTTGAAGAATCGCGGCCCACTGTAGACAAGCAAATCCCAAAACAACGCTCATAATTGACCCGTCTACTGTAAAGGGCAATTGCGACCCAAAAAGCAGTGGCTGTGGTTTGTAAGTCTTTAGGGTGCAGATCAACGTTTTAAGATGTTTTAGGATTTAGCAAAGACACCCACCATTCGGAAAGGTTGTAAAGAAACCATGTAAACCCTCGTGGCTTTGAGGTACCTCAGAGGTATAATCTGAATTTACCTGTCAAACCACAGCTCTCCCTAGCTTTTGAAAAGAATGGTTGACCTAGCTTTATGTAGTGTAAAAACCCTTAGTAAAACTGTTTGTTTATCAGTCCATCACATCAATTTTTGTTCAAATCCCACGGGTTCGTTCCCCAGCAATCTACTTTGACCACGTGCAACTTCGTGGTCGCTCGAAACGTCGAATGTCTCAGTTTCGTCGAGCCGGAACTGGTGGCCCTGTGCCAGGCCCAACGACACCCAGAGCGACCTTCGAATCAACACATGGCAACGACCTAAACATCCGAAACCTCTGCAACTGACTGACCCCCCTAGGGCCAGTCCATCTCCCGTCCGGCTCCTGTCCCACATCTGAAGAGTGTTTTTTTTTCTATGGTTGAAGTAAGAGGGTGCCAGTGGGAGTGGCCCGACGCCTCCTTTTCGGACGTGGGGACTGGAGATTGAAGTCATCACTGGTGCATTCTCAGGGCATTGCCTTCCTTCTCGTGAACCACCTTTACCTGGCTGCCGTGAACTTGACCACCAATGAGATGGCCCGGCCCCCTACACGCCGCCGCGCGTCGTCGTACCGTGGGCGGGGCTGAGAGAGGCTGTGAGACGGGATGGTTTTGATCTTGGAATCCCGCAACAACGACTGGGTCAGCCACAAACACAGTGGAAACGGACCCAAACACAATCCTCGGGGAAACGTCAACGGGTGATGCCTTACTGCAGAGCAATATAGGGTGGTACTTCTGATTTCCATGGTTTTCCCAGAGAGCGAGAGCTCAAAGACCTCTTGATTTCAATGCCTTTCGTTCGCTTTTAGCGTGTAATTAGTTGACGAATTGCAATTCACCTACTTGAGCACCCTCCGCCCCTCAAGCAGGAGTGCATAACTCGCTTTTGCATGCGTTCTTACATCGGGCACCGTTGTGGGTGCACATCTACCCTCGGGCACCCCACTTCAGCGGAAGGACTTTCGAGGGGCAAGCGGACGGATCGTAAGCTGGTGTGGGACATACTGAACATGCAGCATTTATCTTGCTTCAATGAAGTGTGAGGAGTTCCTGCCGCTCAGGACTTAGCAGATCTCAGTGGATGATCGAAATTCAGAGTCTCCAAGATGCTTTGGGCGCTCCTTTTGAAACAGTGTGGTGACAGCTGGGGGACCGCAAAAGGTCACTCCGAGACGTGTTTGTTCTACCCTCGGTCTTTTCTGACGTCATCCTGAAAGCATTTCTGACGCCGTTCCGCCCAAAAGCGGAGCGGAAAAACATACTGTAACAGCAGCGGTGCTTGGACCAACGTGTGGTGCTTGGAACGACTCCGCCGTTGTCCGCCGGTGTCTTCGTTCCGCGGCTCTTTGGGTGACACAGCAGTGAAGGATGTGGACCCGGAGCCTTGGAGCACCGCCCATGTCTTCCCCTTCCCAAGCTCACCAGAACGACCCGAACTTCTTATACACATGTTGTTAAGAATAAAGAGGATCATAGCAGTCGGGGATAGCAGTCGGGGAGAGTCATCGTTCTGCACACAGAAATCGTTTCTCCATGGACTCTTGGGGTGAAGTCTCGTGCCAGATCAACGCCTATCGCTATGATCACTTTTGGCAGGCACGAAAGAACCCGCCAGGGACCCGCGGAGTCACGCGGGTGTGCTGGAGTGAGCCCAGTAGAGAATTGTGCAGAACATGTTGGTGCAAAACATGTAGCAAACATACAGTGTTTTGCAGTAGGCAAGTCACTCTCAAAAAATTATACGGTGCAAGTTGCAAGCGGTGGTCAATCCTATGTTGAAGAAATTGTGCAAGAAGCGGACCAAGAGATGCGAGGTACCCCAAATGACGCCAGTATAGATTCTATAGATCAAACCTGACTGGTGCGACTCGTAAGGAATTTTTGAGAATGGATCCTAAGGTATCTATAGTATTCTATAGTGAGGGGTCATTCCCTCATTCCCTACTAAGTACCAGTCAGAAACTGAATGATTCATCACGTCCTCGTGCTTGGACACCTCAAGGACGGTCCCTTCACAAAACTCCAGGTGTTCGAAGGGCGATCCAACGGGAGGGCGATGCACACCGTCACAGACCCAACAGAATGGATGGGGCGGAAAGCAAGCTGGGAGGAAATTGTATGGAATATGGAATAGGTTTCAATCCACCGTCTAGACATATACTCCCGGTATTTATGGCTTTTTGGTTCGACAGATCCTCTAGGAACGCTAGGTGTTGTGTATTATACCATATTATACCACTATTGGTACGAGGTGGAGCAGCAGTTCATGGTTTAAATCCAATTCGGCCTCCTTCTCGTACGTGATTCAGTCCTCAAGTTCGCTGCCCAGCACGGCTGCCCGGCAGCTGCCCATCCAGTCCCACCGAACCGAAACGATACGGTACGACTGGAGGCCGAACGGGCATAGGGTCGTCAAATTCAAGGACGAATCATTCCCAGACACTCCATGGCGCTGGCATATGACTCCCGATCAGGGCGGGTGGTTGATGTAGATACTTATATGGGTCAATGTAGGCATATATATAGTGGTCCCAAATAGATAGTGGCAGGGTTTCCAATACATTCTGAACGTGGGGATCTACTTTTCTATCTATTTGGGGGTCTATAATGGTCTATATATTGTCCAGACAGATCGTGTACCCAAACACTCCATGGGACTGGCACATGTTCCAGTCCCATGGATTGTGCGTTTTCAGAGCCAGTACGGTCCTCCACACTCAGAACCCAGCGACCAACCACTGAAATCCATGTTCCAACGGGCAACCCATCGAGTCCCAAGGCTTTCTGAACGTACCCAACCCATGGAGTCTCATGGAGTGTTGGGATTGAGCTCACTTGAGCTCCATTCCTTCGGTGCACGCGGACGCCGCAAGGTCATCGATGGACGCAAGGCGTGAACAGCGTTCAACGCTACACCGGCTTGGGCGATTTGGGTTTGGCAGCCAGTTTGGTCACAAGTTTTTCAGACTACGAACAAAAGGGGAACTGAAGATCGTTTCTTCACAAGAGTTCTGTCAACATCCAGGACTGAGGTTTTAAGACATTAAACCCAGGACGCAGCTCTTTTCTTGTTGTGTTTTCTTCGATTGCCCATCCTCTCTGTTCATGCTTTCGTCAGAGATAGTTGCACATCCATCGATTGGATCGAAAGAGGATCGGGGTCCGACCATCACCAGGTGGAGCGTTGAACTTCTGCCTGGTTTTATACTGCAGATGAACATACATAAATTATCACAAATTTAACACCAGTTGGAAGAGATAGGCATACACTCCTTGAAATAGTCATGGAACAGGATGGCACCACCTGTTTGTATAGAGGATAAACGGTCATCCGAAATCTTGTGCACCATTATTTCAGAGGGTGTAATTGCAGCCAGCACACCACGAGAGCTCATTTGAGAGCGTAACCAGCTCGCACAATCAGGTCAATCTCGCTGTGACTCGAGCTCGGACTCTGATCGATTTCCAGAATCCAGAACTAGCTCTACCGGAGTTTGCTGGAGTTTAAGGGCGACTGAATTTCAAGAATGGTTCAAAACTCATCGCACTATAAATGCATGATACATCAGTTCATCCTGGAAAAGCTGTGTCGCATGCAACTTCAATGTCCAAGATGTTTTGTCATCTATCATGTGAAATTAGATCGGCTTTCAGGCTTATATGACCCATCTATATTAAATCATCTTGTTTTCTTCTGATGACCAGCAGAAGAGATTCTTGTTAGTCGGTGGGCTTTCCACGGTTCTTTCCATATGCGCATGCCCCCGGCATCCCCAACAAAACCATGAAAGGTGAACGATTGTTCTTTTACCTCCTCGAGTAGCGTTTTTGTATGACCAACTCCAGTAAAATGAGGTCATTGACCTGTAGGGAAGAAGGGATTTCTTTCCGGAGCGACTTTGGCCCCTGGCAGAAGCAACTTCCAGGTCTTCCGGAACCCCTTCAACAAAGGAGTCTTGAAGCAACTCGACATGAACAAAAGAGACGTGGGAAGACCGCCAGGAGCACGGCAGGTGCAACACCTCCCATGTAGACCAACGATCTGGGTGTCAACATAGAGATCATAGAGAGACCTCCCAGGCAATGACCCGCTGGAAGGTTCGACAATACGTGTGTATACCATCCAGTCTATCCAGTGGGCCAGGTGCGGTGCACCAGATCTAAAGTATCTAAAGTACACACACTCATGTGACTCATGTGTGTGTGTGTGTGTTTTGTGTTATCTGCCTGATTGCTTTTGAGCGTCTTTTGGGACTTTGGAACCCGTCGACCCGTCTGGGACGAGTCCTCTTTCCCGAAAGCATTGCGAAGGGTTCTTCCGGAAAATCCTTTGAACACTTACACTTCGACACTCACACTTATGAACACTGACACTTCGACACTCACACTTACACACACACACACACTGGAAGAGCGAAAGCATCCAAGTGCGAAGTATGCCAGTGTCAAAGTATGCAAGTGTAAGTATGCAAGCATGATATGCAAGGGTGAGTATGCAAGCACGCAATGACTATGCAAGCATGCAATGAGTAGGCAAGTGTGAGTATGGAAAACTAGCACGGGAGATGTCCTAATGAAAAAACATTTCCCCATTTTAAAAATTCTCTCTTAAAGGCGGAGTGCGGGACGAACAGCGTCAACCGAAAGTGCAACCCTCTGCGGAGATCGTGCGTGTCGAGTGCGCGAAATGCAGGTGAGAGTGCGATTTGTCCGGTGCGCGCGCAACCCTCTGCGGAGATCGT